GCTTGTACACACTCACCTGGATGGATGAAATCAGCAACCATGCAACAGCCCGTGACAGGTTGAACTTGTTGAACTTGGGGATGTAAAGTGGCAAATCACATTGGCAATGTATTCTATAAAGTGCGTTACGTAGTTCATAAAGTTGTATATACGTACGTGAAATATTTTTGCTCCCGTGAAGCAAATTGCTGTACGTGTAGCTGCTTCCAAGGACTCTCGTGCATCTTCTCTCAGGTTCCCTGGACAAGAAGTTGAGGGGATGCTTGGCTCTGTCCTCTGCTTCCAGGGCTTCTGCAACAATGTTCCAGAGGCAGAGCTCTCCCCCCAGGGCTCACAGGGCACCTGCAAACCCAGGACCCCACATCCCGCAGCTTGCCGCTTCCAGGCCAGCCCAAGAGCCCCTCTCTGTAGGACCCCTTTTAGAAATCCCATCCAAGTAAGTTAAATCTCTAGGTTCCCAGGACAATCTACTTGTTGGTTAGGTTAAAGTCAACTGAGCACGACTTGTAATTGCAGCTGAAAATCCCGCTGCCTTTCATCAACTTGATCATACGAGTAACAGCCACTATTCACAGATCTCCCTGCTCACATAGGAGAGGGTCATGTGGAACATACTTTGAAGCATTCAGACAACTCTATGTTTTATACACCTGACCCAACAATTGCTCTACTAAGAATTTATGGAAGGTAAATGGAAGCATATGCTCATGAAGTGATGAAATGTTTATTCTCTATGGCAAGAACAATTGAAATTAACGGAATCTGTCCACAGGAGAGCAACACTTACTACAACGAACACTCATCATCCACTTTGACAGTGCAGAAGGCAGCAGATACTACATGCTGTGTTCCCACGAATCTCTAAAACATCTTGAGTTAAAGAAACTGGACACAAAAGAGGGTGTATATGGTGGCTCATTAGCATACATCTCCCTAAAAGACAAAATAGATCTGCAGTGGACACTGGGAGCAATGGAAGTGTGGTCTGGGGCAGGAAGAAGCTAATTGTGTAAGTATGAGAGGGGGTTTTCTAAGGTGAGGGAATGTTTCTATATGGTGTCCGAAATGCTCATTACTGCAAATGGGGCATCTGTCAAAACCTGTTGTGCTGTACCAGCAACATGTGTGCTTTTCATTATATGCCAACAATATCTCCACAAAGTTGGCTTTTTGTTGGGCTCATGTCTATAATCCTAGCTGCTTAAAAAGCTGAGATTGAGAGGATCATGGTGCCAGATCAGCCTGAGAAGAAAAGTCCAGGAGACTGGCTTGAGGGAGAGAAGCTGGATGGTAGGAGGGAGTCTCTGACCCAATGATGACAGAGAACTTGAAAGTAGGTGGATCGAGTTTCAGGGCTACACAGCATCTGGGGTAAGATCTCAGATAACCAGTGCATGGGGTGAGCCCTCACTCTAAAAACAACCAGCAAAAAACTGGAGGTGTAGCACAGGGGTAGCAAGCCAGTGTGTCAAGTGTGAAGCAAAAATAAAGCCTTGAAACACAGGCATGGACACAGACCCAGACACACAGACTCACACACAGCTCTTCCACTAACACATGCAGGAAGTTGAGTTCCCAAGGCCAGATCATCTGATAATGCATTGCGAACACTCCCCGTAACATGTAGTTCATTGCCACTTTTTTTGTTCCGAAGTTATGCTTGCCTGCAGTCTGGGGATTTGCCACCTGCACCATGCCAGCAAACCAGTTAGTTGCCAGCATCTGGCACCTGTGACTGGCTTCATTTGTCATGCAGTTTCTGGCCTCTCAAACATCTTCCCATTTGGCTCATTGCCCAAAGCTGCTGAGTGACAGCGTGGGCTTTTCTTTCTAAGAACAAGATATAAGTTTCAAATAATAGTTCTAATCTTTGTGGCGAAACTTACCAAGACGATTTAGCAACAAAAATCCAGTTACTTAAAACTGAAATTCTTTCTATTTTATTGTGAAAATACCATACAGAGGGGTTACAATTACATGGGCAAGGTAATGAGTACATTTTTTATCAAGCATTGTTGCCTCCTCCTTTGTTTCCCCTTCCCATGTCTTCCCATCTCCCCTCCTCTTCCCTCCCTGCCTCACCCCCGACGCCAAAGTTGTAAAGTTCGTATTAGATATAACATCTTGTACATCTCATTGTTGCAATGGGTCCACCTGTATCCCTATTTAAACAATTTGTTTTTTCCCTTCCCCTCCACAAATTAGACCTACATCAAATACAGTGAAAACAGGGGATATACCATGGAGGAGGGACATACAAAGCAACAAAGAAATATCTTATAAATATGTTAGAAACAATAGCAAGAAAGAAAAACCATTTGAAACAATACACACACACACACATACACACCAACTTACTTCATTAACTATGTCACCTTTATTAAGAACAGCTCATTAAGTATGAAGAATAGATGCCCTCTCCAAAGCTACACTCCGCACATTAGCAAACTTGCCAACAAACCATGTCCCCAAACCTTATTGATCCAGTTGAATAGCAAGCGAACATGGAGGGAGGTGGGGAGAGATGGAGAAGGAAGACATAAGTCCTGGCTGACCTGGAGGAAGGAAAGTGCAGGAGCTTACCAGGGAAGCAGCTGGGTTCAGGTTCTCCCAGATTCTTTCCCATAACAAACGTTCTATGCCGGAACATAAACGTGTCACTAATGCCCAGACAGGGAACAGAGATTCCTTAATGAGTGGGATTCTCTCCCTCTCTTTTTCTCTCCCTCTCTCTTTCTTCCTCTCTCTCTTCCCTCCTTCTCTCCCTCCCTATAACTATGGAAATTTTAAAACACAAATATGCTCTGGGTATGTCAATGTGACTTTCAGTAAATGTCTTCAACTCACATCACAACGTTTACAAAGACACCGAGACTGTTATGAGGAAAACTTGGGAGAGGCTCCTTCTTAATCTTCACCGCCTTCCAGAAAGATACCGATCAGCTCAGAATCTTGCAAATGAGGAAACATAGCCAGAAAATCTTGTTTCTTTCTTGTTATTTAAACACAAAACCCCAAACTGCCACTAGCAGTCCCTTGAAGGCCTGGAGGAAGCCCATGCTTCAGCCCCGGGTCCCGGTTTGCGCTGTCTGCAGAGGAGGTGGTGATTTCGGTGCTCTTATGCAGAGGTGCCAGTGGGGAGAGGAGGCCACAGGAACGTGCCTTCCAAACCCCCTGTGATGGGAGAAAGGAGGCAGCGTGAGAACGGCCAGCAAGGGCCAGGGCGGCTGGAGGATGCATGGCCGCGTAGGGAAGAGCCAACCTGACCAGGTCTTAAATGGCCACAGTTGGCAAGCTAGCGGCACGGAAGTCCAATGTGCCCCCTCCGAGTCAGTGTGGTGGCAACAGCTACCTTTCCGTGGTGATGCCAGGCCCTATCCACGCTGTGCTAGTGGCGGCACCGCACCGCTGCACACTTCGGGAGCTTGCCACGCGCCACGCTTTCTTCTTATCAACACAGTGCTATAAGCACCGTCAAAAGGGTCAGGTGTGAAATGTGCAGAGTGCAAGGTGGGTGGAAGGGTTGTTTACAAAACCACACACCTTCCTAAAAGTTCTGTATAACAACTCCCCAGTGTCTCCTCTGGTGTGAAAAGAATCACGGTTTCTAAAGCAAACAAATGAAACGCTTGCGTTTACTCATATTCTGTAATTCAAGGTGAAAATTGTGTTTTCCCATAATTTATTATTCAATGCCCAAGTCTCAAAAGCTATCAAATGAGTCGGATCCCAGGGTATGTATCTTACTAAACAGTGGAGTAGTAAATTTGTGTTAAGCGAGTCTATAAACTGGAGAGAATTGTGGGGGGTAGCCCGCAGTGTGGGCTGAAATGTAGTCACTTATTTTATCCTCATGGAACAAGAAAACCTCGCTCTGAATACTAAACAGCCTGGTATTACTTACAAAGCCCTTGGATACAATTCCAGTATTGACTTCACTATCATTAGGAAAGAGACTTGTTAGCACACATTCTTATTAAGGCCGTTTAATCCTAATGAACATGAAATGCAATCGTAATCACATTTATTTCCAATCCTTTGTTCCTTTTCTTAATTGGAAAGCACACAGACATTGACAACCATTCCTAAATAACATGTACCTTCAGGTTCATTGCAAACATTCATCGAAAAACTTACAGAAATCAATGCAAATCTCTCCACAGTAAATGTCCAGGCTGAATTAGCGAGGATAAATTTTATCTACAATATTTTGAAGATTAAAAGCTAGATCGTATTTATTTATTTATTTAGCTGTAAGTAGAAGGATTTGAAAGTATGGGAAAAATGTAAGAATAAAAGATCTTTTGCCTTCATAACTATTTCTGATAATCCCAACACAAATTACTCCACTTGAAAACACAGTTCCAGATAGCTCTAATTTCTGTTTCCATTCAGAATGCAATTATGACAATGGAGGTTTTATCTATAAGCATGTTTTCAGATTTATGGCTTGAGTTATGGAAAATTACCATAAATCCCTTTCTGCAATGTTTTTTATTGTTTCCTGTCCTCAGAATTTCTGGAATTCCATCCAGGAGACTGCCATTAGCTTTCTACCCCCTTCCATTAAATACCTGTAGACATTGCATGCAGAGTTAAGTTCTACAGATTTTCCCTTGCTGCTAGCTATAACAGAAAGCGCACATGAAGAACCTTAAAACTAGTTTGCCCTGGTGAGTCAAGTAACTAGGATTGTTAGCTAGCAATTTTAGGTACTCAGGAGACAGAGATAGCGAGGATTGTAGTTTCAGGCTGGCTAAGTAAAACTTTAGTGAGACACCTCCCCCCCCCCCTTAAAAAAAAAAAGAAATCATTGGGAAATAATCAGCCTTTATTGTTTCATAGTTCTCAGGAAATTTATCTTCCCGGTGGGTGCAATGGCATAGATTTGTCATCCCCAAGATGCATGGAGGCGTAAATAGGAGGATTCCAGTCCAATCAGTCAGTCCTTAACATAAAATCAGATTCTATCTCAAAAATTAGTCAACACAAAAAGATGTGGTAGAGTGGCTCAGATGGTAGAGTTTCTGCCTAAGAAGTGCAAGGTCCTGGGTTCAAACCCCAGTTCTACCAAATAAAAACAAAAAGCAAATCACTCAAATAAACACAGATGAATAAAAACAAAAGCCAAAGAACCTTAAAGTGACAAGAATCCTTTTGAGATCCATGCCCTTACCTCTTTTGAAGGTGACAGTGCTCCGAGGATCTCACTGACAAGCAGCACATTGCTTCCAAGATGCTCATGATTAGATAATTTAAATTTTGAGAATTCTTCTTTGAAAGTACAAATATGTCAGGGTTGGAGATGTAGCTTAGTGGGAGCTCATTTGTCTAGCATGTTCAGGGGTCTGGTTTCCATCCTTGGTACCAGAAGTCAACAAACCAACACCCCAAAGCAAACAAACGAACAATAAAAAGAGCCCCCTCCTCTTTCAAGCTAGTATGAACACCGCTGACCAAGCAAGGTGAAGAGTCAGCACTGGTTCCACCAGCTGCTCTGGGACCTGCTGGCAGTAGTTGTGTTCATGTCAACTGCCCAGTGGTTTCACAACTCAAGGACAGCAGCAGTGCATGCATCTTATCTCATGTGCAAGATAATTAGGTTAGGCCTTAAGTGAAGTCCTTGGGCACAGAGAATAAGCTGTATGTGTCTCTCACTTACTACCCTTGAGACCTGTGTTCTCACCTGACCTTGCGCTTTTCTGGTCCTTCTGTGATACTTCAAACATCCAGCGTAAGGACTGTGTAGTTACATTTGTGCTCCAGCAGCTTATCCAGTAGGAGTATCTTCAGGAGGGGGCCCAAATACTAGTGGAATAAGTAAATAACTCCAAGTCCTTTTCACCTGATAGTTAGGTTCTTGCTATTTAAAAAAGCACAGTTGTCTGTGTCTCTTGAATCAAAGCCCTCATGGTGGTGGTCTCCCTGCCAGTGTCCCCAGTGGGTGGCACCTCTGCCAAGGAGGGGTCTGGGTGGCCATATTGTCTCATTGGTTCCTCTAGGGTGGTTTGTCAATAAGATATTGAGCTCTTGCTAGGGTTGTTGTCCTGCACTGTGTGTACTCTGTGAATTTAACTCAATCTGTTGTTCCTCACGTACCATATTCTCAACTACAAATGCTCACATTCATTTGCTGTTGACCCTGTGCTAGGTCCAGTTTTAAGATTTTTACATGCTTTATTTGTATTCTTTCAATTAACCATCTTGATAATGCTGTTAGGTCAGCCAGTGGTCATTTGAAGCACACAGTTTGGACCCAGCGAAGTCAAAAGTTGGGTTTGATATGCTGTACTATCTGTCATCAACTGTTTTTGGAACTTAGAAAACATATGGTCACTGAAGGACCCTCATTTGCTTTGTGAGAGAATGGGTATGTAATTGTTCCGAGAAATTCCAGATAATATTCTAGAGGATAAGAAAGTACTACTGGAAAAAAAGAATTAAGACTGAAAAGAAAGTTTCTCAGACGTCTGATTGGACAGTAGGCAGAGCTGGTTCCACGAATGGTTTGGGAAGGGTACCATGACTGAGAACTCGCAGACCGGCACACTGTGCACTGAACCAGGGATCGCAGAGGGAGACTCGGCCCATCCCACACCATCTGTGGGTACTGGGCAGACAAGTCCACTCAAGTCTCCATCCAGGTCCACAGAGCCAGGTTTGCCTGGACTGCAGGATCATCTCCATAAACACAGCATGCAGAGAAGCAGACATGGAGGAAGTGGGGTTGCACTTGAGGGTAGCCTACCCTACTCAGCCAGTTCTAGCCCCAGACACACTGTTCCTGCAAGCAGTTGGCTCAATGGTCCTAGGCCCAGCCCTTCTCTTCATGTGAACAATCAGGCCAATGCTTGGTCCCTCAGAATTACAGTCGAAACTCAACTAGATTTCTTAGGTACATGTGACTGCTCCAGGATCTGGTTGGTAATACCATCTTTTAAATATATATGGAATGCAAAATGGTATTTTGAAATAATGCTTTCAAGATGCTGATTTTTAAAAAATAGCCCACGTTTATCATAAAAAGTTGGCCAAATCCATGTTGATGTACAGTTTTACTTTGTTTATAAAAATGGACATGTCTAGGCACTATGGGTACAATGTCAAATTAAATGGTTTTTATACAAAATATTTGTACTGTTTCATAAAACAAATTCTATTCTCAAAGAAATTCTACGATGACAAGAACAGAAGTACAGGAGAAAATGGATTCGGTATCAAAACCTTCCTGGATTAGACATGTGGTTCAGTTGGTAGAACATTTGATCAGTAAGTGTGAGAACTTGGAGTTCAATCCCCGTACCTCAAGTCATAAGTGGGTAGAACTAGGCTGAAGGAGCCTGGACTTCTGAACTTGGTAGCCCAAGCTCGGAAGTGGATTGCAGCTTTGGTGAGTGAAGGCTCGGGGAAGAGGCAACCTTTGACTGGAACCTGTGAAGTTAAGAAGATTTAATTCAGAAGATAGAGGAGCCTAGGAGGAGCCTGGCATGAGGTAGCCTGTGAGCAGGCACCTGAAAACTGCAGACACCCTAGAATAGGGCACCAAGAAACCTGATATCATTCCTCTGTGGGATTTCAGGTGCATGGGTGGATGGACCGGTAAGTGTGGGGCTAGAACTCCTCGGGAGGGAACCTGAAACCTAATCACACGGATGTGGGGGCTATATGGAAGCCACATGGAAACACAAGCTGCAATATAAGTTTGCTTGAAGATCTGACAAATGCCAATGTCTTTTCTAAATTAATTTAAAAAGTCAACATGAGGTTGTACAGAGGGGTTGCATTTCAACGTGTCAGTTAATAAATACGATGCACTTTAATCAGCACCACTCTTCCCCACCTCTTACAACCCCATCTCTCCTCTCAAATTTTCTATCCCATCTTTTTTTTTTGGTACCAGTCCTGGAGCTTGATCTCAGGGCCTGGGCCCTGTCCCTGAGCTTTGTTTCGCTCTAGGCTGGGGCTCTACTGCTTGAGCCACTGTACCACTTCCATTTTTGTGGTTTTTGTTTTTCTGAGTAATTTTTTGGAGATAAGCCTCTCTAGACTTTTCTGCCTGCGCAAGCTTCAAACTGTGATCCTCAGCTCTCAGCCTCCTGAGTAGCTTGGATTCCAAGCATGAGCCACCAGTCCATTGTCTTTTAAGATATGGAAAAATTGGATTAGAGATGACACAGCAAATGGGTGTGAGATGTGTTCTGGAATAGTATTTACCAAACACCAAGAGTTGCAGCACTTTTCCAGTGTATCTTCAAATCTTAGTTTTTCCTTTTTCTTTTTCTGGTCGCTGGTGTAGGTAGAGTTATTGGAAAAGTCACCAGTCCATCATCAAAGAAGAGAAAACAAGACAGCATCTGATGCCCAGTACAGCCGAGTGAAGCTTGCAATGCACAGGGTGAAAACCCTGCTTAGGCCCAGGCTGTGCGAAGCTGGACAAGTGAGCATCACAGAGATGCAACAGGAGCTGTGTCCATGGAATTGTCTGCAAGCAGCCACTGCAGAAAACAGCTCAACCAGATCCTTTTCTGAAAGCCTGGCTACAGAATACAGGCAGAGATGTTGATGTTGGTAGAGAGGGGTGGTTAGGCGAGCTATTTCTACTTAAGGAAGCACATGTCAGGCAGAGAACCCTCTCCTAACCCCGCTGCAACATCCAGTGTCAGTCACTGGGTTTGTCGTGAGTCTGAGGCCTGTGACCTTCCTGGCAGAGGGTCATGGCTCGTACTCAAGTCAGCTTGCCACATGGATTCATGGGCTTTCCATGGAGATCCAAAGAAAACAGGAACGAAGACTATGGAATGAGAAGCAAAAGCCATTACTCTTTATATGTTTTCCCTGAATATTGAAGAGGATCCCACGGGAGGGGCTTCAAGGTTTTGGCTTTGAGATGTGTTTGTTAACACGTTGTTTAGGAGAAGTCCCGGGGCAGGTGACATCACGAGAGGGAACTCGATGCCTACCATCCACCCAGCCCAGCATGTGTGTCACTGCTGGCATGAAACACAGTGTGGCTGGCACAGCTCATGGCTGCTGGGGACCCCGGATGCCCCGACAGCACAGAGCCAGAGTGGACTTGCGAATGAGAGCAAAGCCACTGCGCTGGAGGACTTCAGGCTCTTTGCAGAGAGCTAATGCACGAGTCGTTCCTGAACATGCAAAGATGCCAGAACAGCAGAGAAAGCCGAGTGCCAGGTTTTCGATTCCTTCTCCTTCTCTCTCTTTCCTCTCTAGTCTCTCTACTCCCTGGTCACTCTCCTCTCTGTCTCCTCCCTTTTCCTATACACTCTCTCCTCCCTTTCCTCTTTCTCTTCTGTCTCTCCTCTCTCTCCCTTCATATTGCTTTATTACACACATATGTGCATACATACCTGAGCAAACTATAAAATGATAAAATGCCTCAGACCCTATCTAAGAACTGTTTTCTAAACTAAGTGTAAAATAAGGGGAAAAACAATCTCAGGGTTATTCTTTTTGCTTTGTTTCCTTAGTGAGTAGAATAAATATTAGTTGACCCAAGGAGACATTTGAAAATCCTTGGGCCGTCTTAACTCTGAAATCAAATATTTACCTCCCGACAGTTCTGAAAACACAAGCTTCTGCTTGAAAGTGGTTGCCAGCCAAACAAGTGTATGCTGCCCAATGTAGCAGTTGGACAGTTAAGACGTGACCAAATAAACTGCAGTGCCAAGTCAAACTCTGTTTGAAAAATCACTAAGATTAGTCGTATGGACTTAGTATTGCTAACTTTTTAGGGATGAATAGCAGTGTCCCATACTCAGCAGCAAGAGCACAGGGAGAGGAATAATAAATATACATTGCAAAACTCCATGAGCTCAGATGTAAAGGCAATTACTAGCCCATAAAATAAATACTCGCTAGAAGATGCAGCACTTTACATCCCTGTGTTCAGCAGTATGCCAGCCACCTACCATCATGGAGACCTTGTAAATGTAAATGTTTAGAGAAAGAGCTGGTTGTAGAATTCAACCTCCATGAATTAGACTCGATGTATTTGGAATGTACAGTATTGTTTGCAGAAACTAATTTGAAAGTCTTCTTTTTAAGATAATAAG